CTCACAGCGTCCTGAAAGTTTCTAGCTTTCCAATCCAGACTGTCAATTCTCCTTCCTTGCCAGACACATGAACTTAACAGAGATGCAGACAAAATCTACTGTTTCCTTGCCAGGTCTGCCCAGTTCCTTGGAAGATTGGAATCAGCTTTTATGGGAACAGCTTTCAGCTCTTCTTTCCGAACAGACTCTGAGTTCAGCCTTCCATGGAAATCTGCTTTTCCCCCAGCATCACTCTCCTGCTGTGAGAAGTCACCCCCTCAGCTCCCCTGTACACAGCACCAGCAGAAAGTGCTCCACAACCGCAGCGCAAGGTCCAGGCACAGCTTCCACAGGGGATGGTGTTGAGCGTTTAGCCTCAATTCGCCCTCTCGTGGACTTACCTGACCGCAGGTTCTCATGAACAGGTTGCCCAGAGAAGCTGTGGTTGTCCCACCCTCTGTGGTCTTCAAGGTCAGGTTGGATGGGGATCAACCTGGGCTAGAGGAAGGTGTCCCTGCCCATGGCTGGTGGATGAAACTAGATGGTCTTTAAGGTCCCTTCCAACCCAAACCGTCTTGATGCTGTGAAAAATACCTGTTTTCCCTGGGGCACTGCAGCTGTAGTGTCAGTCCCGTGTGCTGCTCCTCCTCTCTCTGTTTTTGGGGGCTGTAACACAGTCCAACTCCCTCAGATATTCACACAGCAAACTTTGTGAAAATCACTGTGCTGTCTGCACAAACACTGAACAGAACAGGAACGAAAGAAAAAAATACTGATTTCCCTTCTCCAGCATGTTATGCAGGATTTCCAAGCTACTAAAGTTAATTCTTCACCACATTCATTAAATTTGCCTCTCATGCTTCAGCTCTGACTCATTTTCACTCTAATCAATTCCTAATTACTATCCACTTTCTCAGGAAGTTTATGGGGACAGATGCTGCAGTACCATGACTACTAAACAAAACCATGAAAATTGGAAGAAAACTTTCCTGCAGATGTAGATGGATTAAGTTGATGAGGTGCTCTGGTAGTTTCCTTCCTCACTTTCTCTGTCCAATTAGTCCAATTACATATGCACTGGTTTGAGCGGTAATTTTATGCAATAAATAACCATTAATTAATCAAGTTATTGTATATTTACAGAGTAACAGCACGAAGAGGCTAAAATGGCTGAAATCCTGAGGCCCAGTGTGTCCAGCCTGACTGCCCAGCACAAGTGGATGGAGTTTGGAGTTGAGGGGAACAAAATAGTTGGGGTGTGTGTCAGATAGCACAGCTGGACAGGCAGGGCAGGATGTACAGACAGAGCACACACACCCCAAGAATGTAAAGTCAGTAAAGCTTTCTGCTACACAATTTTATCTAGTCAATGACAACAACCTTCATGTTTTGAGTGATGCTACCAATGCCTTCATCTCCAGATAACTTCATCAGGCCCTGGTCAAATTTTGGGCTGGAGATGGGAGGCTGCTGAGCTGAGGTTTGCATCCTAAAGTCAAGGGCACAGCAGGATGAGGCTTTAGCCATCACTTCTCTGCCTGGCTCCGTCCTGTCTCATGGGGATGTTTCTGCTTCTTAGTGTGAAGAAAACCCAAAGGCTCACTGACATTTAGCTTCAAAGTCTGATTTAACGTCAGCCCAGGGTGTAATTTTGGTTTCCTTTTGCAGCACTTATGGGGAGGGAGCTCGAGCAAAGGGAAGGGGAAACACAGCAATGGATGCCAAGTCACATCTATGTTTTCTGGATGGAAGAAGAAACAGTATGTTTCTGCTTCTTAGTGTGAAGAAAACCCAAAGGCTCACTGACATTTAGCTTCAAAGTCTGATTTAACGTCAGCCCAGGGTGTAATTTTGGTTTCCTTTTGCAGCACTTATGGGGAGGGAGCTCGAGCAAAGGGAAGGGGAAACACAGCAATGGATGCCAAGTCACATCTATGTTTTCTGGATGGAAGAAGAAACAGTGTAATACAAACA